CTTGATTTGTGTCGGTCTGGAATCTGAGTTGGCACAATGGATGTGGAAGAAATTTGGTTGTTTGCATTTAAAGACGAATCTACCTGATTGGCACTTCCTGAAATACTATGTGAAGCTAAACACAGCCATCTTTGGAAATTTGCCTTCCTCTGAATTGTACGATGCAGTTCGCTAGCCAAGTAACTTGCATAAGATTACATACGCCAGGGTAAAGTGTGCATAAAAATGCATATATTTGTGGAAACAACGTACAAAGCTGCATCATACTGGGGAAAGTTTCTTGCCAAAAAGTGTATTTTAGGCAAAACAGCATACAAAAAAAAAGTATATTAGAAGAAATGTACACTAAAATGCCAAGAACTTTTAAAAGAAATGTTGCCCAGACTGATTGGGGAATGTGGAGACTTAGGCTTAATACTTGAAAAATGAGAACTGGAGAGAAACCAAAGCAGACACATTCACCCATCCCTAGTTGGCACACACTGTCGGCTTTTCTTTTAAATTGCTGCAGAGTTGTCATCGTTTCTTCTTCGCCTTGTTCTATCTTCTACTTTTGGGGCCTGTTTGTTCCAGTATAGATGTAGACTGTCGTTTCTGCCAGCTGGAACTTGGGAAGAGCCAGTAACTTGGTTTTGCTTTGCAAAAAAAACGCATGTGAGAGTTTTGACAAAGAAGCAGAGAAAGCTTGGCTCACCTGTGTTGATGCCAAGAGAAACAGACTGCTTTCAATATTGAGGTTCGTGAATGTTGCAAGTATAGCTATATCCTGTATTGCTGCTCCCAAATGATTGTAGGAAGCAGAAAAGGGGCACCTGTAATTTGTTGTTTATATAAATCTGCATCTGGGTCATTTCTAAAATATTGCCTCTGTCATAAGGCTATACCTTACCCATGGCAGGAAAAATATCTAATCTATTTATCTATTTATTTATTTATTTATTTATCTATCTACAGGAACATTTTTTAAAAGCAAGATTTACACTACAAGCCTATGCATGTCTGCTCAGAAGTAAGCCCAGCTGAGTTCAATAGGACTCACTCTTAAGGAACAGTCTTAGAGGTCATACATATGAGTAATAATGGGGAGCAGGCAGAATTTTGTGGCAATTTCAAAATTCTGTCAAGGAAGAAAGGCAACCGATTCTAATCTTCACCACATTAATTATTTTATCTCCCATCTGACCACCAATGCTCTGGGAAGCTTAGAAATCTAAAAATATCTATGTATAGCGTAGCAAGAAATACCAGTTAAAATGTTACATGGATCAGGATTACAGTCAAATTAAAACTGTCTCAATAACAAAGTTGATCTCAAAGCTCTCAAAATCAATCTCAAATGCCATGTTAAACACAATGGGTGGAATTTAGCGTCACACTGTTCCAGCTGTTCTATGTGCGCAAGCATTCCCGCTTGCCCGATGACACGAGGCTCCCTCCCCTCCTGCCTCTTGGTATTCTGGGGGTATCCTGACCCCTTCTGAGCCAATTTCAGGGGGGCAAGGAAGGAAAGTCCTGTTGTACAAGCAGGAGCCCTTGCGCAGGACTTCCACTGATGGGGCTGGTCAGGTGAATCCCACCCAATGGACTCAAAAATGGCACTTCAATTCACTTCCAAATTAACAAGGTTCTTACAGAGTTTAAATTTCAGAAAGTTAGATTCAGCTTTGGAAGAGCTTCATAGCATGCATAAGCAGATCAGTTATGCTTAAAGACATTGAAGCTATTTTTCTGAGTCGTGCAAAAGTGATGCAGCGGTTTCACCATCGAAGCCCTTGTGATGAAGTAGACTCCACACACAAGACTTTGAAGATGACTCTTTAACTTGCAGGATGACAACTATTACAAGCAACAGTATTTATACATATGAAGTCCAATAAAATGTGGTTCTCTCCCTTGAGCCCAAGAGAGGGTCTTCTTGTTTCCAAAACTCCTTCGGGGAAGTCCATAAATTATAGTTTGTCTGTCCTCACCAGCTCTTCTGACAGTGACTGCCTGAAGTTTCCACACTTAGCAGAACAATGGCAAAACCAACCAACCTCCAATCTCACCCCTCTTATCACTTACATGCTCACTTTTAAAGGGAGTTGCGTGGTGAGTTCCCGCCCCCCACCAGGGAGAAATAAAGACACAGGACACCAGACGTAAGGTTAAATGGGCGAATTAGGCCACAACTTTATTGATTTCAGGAATGAGAGGCATTGGCTTAGGCATTGGTCCTATCGACTATCCGGCTCCAGCCCGTTTGCTGAAGACCGGGAAGGGTTAACACAATTGAGAAGGCAATGATTCAGCATTTCTGTGACCTTAATTGGAGTCCCAAGATTTTGCAGCTGTTACATTACATTACATTACATGGGTTTTCTCTCTCCCCCAGTACAATTAATTCTTTGTAAAATACATTTTCTAATGAAAATACAGTGCATATACCATCAGCTGGCTTCTCGGGTGCTATTGCAAATGCTCCAAAACTGTAATTCCAATGGTGTGTCAAAAATCAGTCTGCACTCAGTGAAAGATGGTGGCATACACAGGAAGCTGCCCCACACTCACTCAGAGCCATCAGTCCATCTGGCTCCATGTTAACAGACAGTGGCTTTGTGGTGATGCAAGCAAGGAACACCAGATACATTACACACATCATAAAAGGAGTTGAAATCAACCATAAAGACAGGAAAAACTGACTGAAAATTATTGTTTTAACAGGGGATGGGGTTTTAACTTGGGTGTGTGCTGTTTTATTTAGAGGGTGGGGTTGTTTTAAACTGTTAAATTTGGGTTTTGGTATTTGTGGGCTGGAATATTGTTTAGGGGGCTTTTGAGGGGGAGTGTATTGATAATTAGTGTATATACAATAGCATTGTTAATTGCTTTTATTTTTCATTATATTTTTATTATGTATTTTGTGCTTCGTATATTGTAATTTTGTGTTGTGACCCGCCCTGAGATCTATGGGTATAGGGCAGTATACGAATTTAATAAACCAACCAACCAACAAATGAAGAAATAACAGGCCTGCTGAGATTTAAAGGTGAGCCCATCTCATCTGAAGGTACTTAGATCTCCCACCCTCAAATAAAAAGATTAATTCAATCTTGTGGGGACATCTTCCCTCTGAAATTGCACAAAATGTCTGGGACGTACACTTTTGTCCAGCAGTCATCTGAACAGTAAAAGAAATGAAGAATATGAAGGACTGAAGGAGCTTTTGTTAAGCTGAAGTAACAGGGCTGGTGTGAAAATAAGCATGACAGAGTTGCCTCCCTGGGCTCCTTTGGGAGGAAGGGAGGGATATAAATAGTAATAATAACAGTAAATAAATAAGTTTCCATGATAAAGTTGAGACTGCAGGGGATTTTGGCAGGGCAAAAACAGTGCAGCGAATGCTTGACTTCATTATATGTCGATAGTGATTCACCTCATGCTGGCTCTAACTATTTTTCAATGCTTTCTTGGAAGAACTCAGAGGTGTAGTTTCTTGTATGTTAGGAGTATTCCTCATTCCAAAACCCTGCTGGCGGGAGCGGACCCTTGCCACAGCTTCACCACCTATGAAAAGGGAAAGGTCCATGCTCAGTGAGTGGTAGACCGAGTGGTAGAACATTTCCTTTTGCATGGGGAAGGTTCCAGGTTCAGTCCTCAACATCCCCAGGAAGGACTAGGAAAGGACCATGTCTGAAAACTTGCAAGAGTTCTCTGCCCTTCGGTGTAGACAGTATTGTGCTAAATGGACTCAGTATAAGGGAGCTTTCTTTGTTCCTGTCATTATCAACCCAACATCTGGGGGTTTATTTGCAAGCTTGAACCCCCAACAGATTTCCTCATCTATTGTTTATCCATTTGGTTCAAATGCCTTTTAGCTGGTTTAACATGTGTGGAGGAAGTTATATCTGAATGAGAATTCCGTACAGATTTTGCAAGCAGATGTACAAGTGAGTTAATAGCTGCCCAGTGAGATTTTTCATTCCGAAAAGGTTTTCCACAGGCATTCTTCCAGATGTGTTTTACTAAGAAGGAAGGCACTACATTGTAACTGTCTTTTTGGTTGTACTGTATTTTTACAACAAAAGAAGGAAAGTCCCTACTGCTGTGACTAGTTCAGTATTCAGCTGCCTCTGCTACCTGTTTCCCTCTTGGAATAATGATTAAACTAGAGCAAGGATGCTTTCAAAGTCACCATCAGCCCTCCTGTCTCCCCTGTTCAAAAATGCCCCTCCATAGCTCTCTCCAGAGAGCAAACCCAGAAGGCAGCCCCCTCTCATCACTGCAGCCGGTGTTTAGTGATGCCACAGCACAAGGCGGCCTGTATTATCCTATCACCAGGTCCTATCCCGGGAGGGATCACATGGGCTGCTGAAGATGTGGTGCCGAAGGTGTCCTTCAAAGCAACCCTTCACAAGATCCTCTGCTTGCCTCTTCCTTTGCCTGCCGCCACTCACTCTTTGCTTATCTAGTCCCCTTTCAGGCTGATCATGCACACACTGGAAATATTGCATCTGCACTCCAGCTATTTGGCAGACTATTTAGACAGACATATGCTGCTCTTGGAGATCTTTGCAAAAGAAAAAAGCATTCTGATGTGGGTATTACTTCCCTGTAGGAAAACATGCAGGCTCTCAGGTAGGGACCAGGGAGAAATTTGATTCCGTTCACGTTGAAAGGCAAACATACCAAATATGCGCTTTCTGAAACATTGCACAAACCGAAACACACAGAAATTTTCACTTTTCTGAATTTTGCAAGGCAGTTCTCCACCCAAGTAATATATACAAAATTGCATATGTTGGGGTAACACATGCCTATAAGTGTGTGTATTGGAGAGAATATCATGCAGAAAATCATTATGTATGGGGAAGTTGTATGTACCGGGAGAAATTCACACTAAACTGCTGCTGAATATTCACGAGGACCTTATAAAAATTGCAAACTGATGTGGAAATGTGGAGGACTAAATTTAAGAGTGGAAAAATGAGAGCCTGGGAGAAACTGTAATTGACGATTCCGTAGCTCGGTAGAAGAGCATCTGCTTTGTATGCAGAAGGTCCCAGATTCAATCCCTGGACTCTCCAGGTTTGAAAGGTCAACCCAACCCCCGTAGCAATAAAGGACACCTGCTACTGGAGCATCTCTGATAGGTGTTTATCCAGTCTGTGCTTAAAAACTTCAGACAAAAGACACATTCTGAGACAGTCTCTTCCACTGTCAAAAAGCTCATATTACCAGGAATTTCGTACTCATGCTCAGTGTAAATCCCTCCGCCATAGTTTGAACCTTATGAATTGTGTCCTACCCTCTGGAGCAGGGCTAGCCAAGGCCAAATCCCAAAGCTTCCTGAGATAATTCTGTATTTTTAGGCCTTTTACAAAGGATGTTGTACACAGTCCAAAAAAAAACCTGATTTCCAGGTTCATCATTCATAACATTGGATAATCTCAATTAGTCTTCCAAGATGGCCACTTGAGATAACACCTGAATAGCTTCTTAGCCAAACTAAATCTATGCTTACTGTACCATTAATATGGCATTCATCTGCATTATTTCACAGCAATATTTTATGTTACACCTTATTGTTGTGCTATGTCATTTTAATCACTCCCTCTAATAGCAAATGCATGTGGTTGAGTGCTAATAGGTTTGAAGCCACAAAGAAACAAGAGGGGGAGGCAGGGCAAATAATAATAATTTTATTTATACTCCACCCATCTGGCTGGGTTTCCCCAGCCACTCTGGATGGCTTACAACATATCTAAAAACATAATTTAAAAAACCATAAATCCTTAAAAATTTCCGTAAACAGGGCTGCCTTCAAATGTCTTCTAAAAGTCAGATAGTTGTTTATTTCCTTGACATCTGAAGGGGGGAGTGGACATTCCACAGGGAGGGCACCACTACTGAGAAACCCTCTGCCTGGTTTCCTGTAACTTTGCTTCTCGCTGTGAGGGAACCAGCAGAAGACCCTCAGAGGAGGACCTCAGTGTCCGGGCTGAGCGATGAGGGTAGAGATGCTCCTTTACATATACTGGGCTGAAGCCGTTTAGGGCTTTAAAGGTCCGCACCAATACTGAATTGTGCTTGGATATGTACTGGGAGCCAGTGAAGATCCTTTAGGACGGGTGTTATATGGTTTTGGCAGCCACTCCCAGTCTAGCTGCTGCAGTCTGGATTAGTTGTAGTTTCCAGGTCACTTTCAAAAGTAGCCCCACGTAGAGCACATTGCAGTAGTTCAAGCGGTAGATAACCAGGGCATGCACCATGCTGGCGAGACAGTCCGCAGGCAGGTAGGGTCTCAGCCTGTGTACCAGATGGAGCTGGTAAACAGCTGCCCTGGGCCCAGAGTTGACCTGTGCCTCCATGGACAGCTGTGAGTCCAAAATGATTCTGAGGCTGTGCACCTGGTATTTCAGGGACATGGTTATCGCATTCAGGACCAGGGAGCCCCCCACAGCTTGCTGCCCCCTGTCCCCCTAGAACAGTATCTTGTCAGGATTCAACCACAATCTGCTAGATGCCATCCGACTGCCTCCAGACACTCAGGACCTTCACTCCCCTCACTGGTTTTGATTTAAAAGAGAGGTAGAGCTGGGTATCATCCACATACTGAACACCCAGCCCAAACCCCTGATGGTCTCTCCCAGTGGCTTCATGTAGATGTTAAAAAGTATGGGGGAGAGGACAGAGCCCCGATGCACCCCACAAGTGAGAGCCCAGGGATCCGAACACTCAGCTCCCAACACCAATTTCTGGACACAGCCCAGGTGGAAGGAGTGGAACCACTGTATAACAGTGCCTCCAACTCCCAGCTCCTCTGGACTGTCCAAAAGGTTGTCATGGTTGAAGGTAGGAAACAGCTTTCACCGTTGTCACTAGCCTGCCAGAGATTATCGACCAGCGCGACCAAGGCAGTTTCAGTCCCATGATGAGGCTTGAATCCTGACTGCAAGGGATCCAAATGGTCTGCATCCTCCTGGTGTGCCTGGAGTTGTTCAGCGACCACCCGCTCAATCACCTTGCCCAAGAATGGAAGCTTTGGGTCAGCTATGCGGTATGTTCAATGGCATTTTCCTCCCCAAAACTGTTTGCAGCATTGTATCTTCTTTGAATTTGTTAAGTGCAGAAAAACACACACACAGAAAACTGCTTTACCCAAATAGAATGAACATTGAAGTAATAAATAGGACTTGACTAGACCCAAGTTCCCAGAAAAAGCCCACTTGGATAGCTTTCCTCCATATTTAACTACTACTAAATGCTGCTAGAACCATTATCTGAAGCCACCACACAAATGTAAAGGCATGCTGCTTCCTTTCCATGTGCTCGATTTCAACCATTGCCTGCCTTAGTAGAGAAACCAGGTGTCGATGATCTAAGGGTTTGACAGCTTTCCTTTAAGAAATAAACATGCTCAGAGATCTCTGGGAGCCACAGAATGTTGAATGACATTCAGGAAAGAAGAGTGGAAAAGGTGGAGGGAGTTACTTTAGCCTGGTTGAGCCCCGTATAGGAGCAATGTAGAAAACTACTGTACCTTATACAGTGGTACCTCGGGTTAAGTACTTAATTTGTTCCGGAGTTCCGTACTTAACCTGAAACTGTTCTTAACCTGAAGCACCACTTTAGCTAATGGGGCCTCCTGCTGCTGCCACGCTGCTGGAGCATGATTTCTGTTCTCATCCTGAAGCAAAGTTCTTAACCTGAAGCACTATCTCTGGGTTAGTGGAGTATGTAACCTGAAGCGTATGTAACCTGAAGCGTATGTAACCCGAGGTACCACTGTATTGAGTTAGCTCAGTATTGCCTTCATTGGCTGGCAGTGGCTCTCCAAGGCTGCAGACACGGAGTCTCTGCCACTCTTACCAGGCAATGCCGTGAATTGGCCCTGGGATCTTCTGCATGCAAGGCAGGTACTTTGCCACTGAATCCCAGTTTTCCTTGCTGGCTGACTGCCTGACCAGGAGCCCTTCTGCTAGGGCATGAAGATACACTGCAGTCTTCTGTTGCAGGTTAGAAATTGAATAAGGCACCTGGGTTCAATGGCTTCCTTCATGTTACTAGGGAAATCTGGGGGAACATCTTTTAAGTCCTTGAATTGGTTCTATTTGATTATGTACAACTCTAATGTATCTTGTTTTTCTGTGAAGTTTGCATCCCCTATAATCCCTTGTAAATTGTATATTTAAATGAGATTTCCAGATCTTTTGTTCGTTCATTCATTCACTCAAAAGAAAAACTGGGCAGAATCTGGAAAGGGACAGGGATGCTATTCCATGTGGGAATGGCCATGGCTCACTGGCAGAGCACCCACTTTGCCAGCACATGGTCCCTGGATGGGAAGCAGATGGCTTTGGGAATAGTGATTTAACCTGTTTTTGATGGGTGCTATAGTACTCCCTTTGAAGAGTTAGGTCATTCTGTGGGGGGTCCTCCTGGACTTAGCTTTACACCTGGTTGGCCAGGTAGTAGTTGCAGCCAGGAGAGCCATTGGTCAGCTGACACTGGTTTACCAACTGCATCCATTCCTAAGAAAGCCAGACCTGGTGAGAATGACATACACTTGAGTTGCCCTGTCTCCAGTTAGTCCCAAAATGCAGCTACAAAAATATCGATGGGTCCATGGAATCATGTTACACCAATCCTGAGGCAGATTGGCTTTTCCAGTGTGCCTATGCAGCCGCAACCTCTTTCCTGCTCTGTCCAGGTGAACTGCAGAGATGCCAACGTCAGGAAGGCAGCTCCACAGCGCTGCCCCACCACACCAGGCACTTTCAGGAAAAACTCTCCTTCATGACCCACTTAGGGTAGAAGCATAGCTGGGTGGGACAAGTGGGAGGGCCTTCTTGGTGGTGGCACCAGCATTGTGAAACACCTTGCCTCATGAAGTACACCTGGCCCCACACCTTACTGCCCCCCCCCAGTTACTGAATACCATTTTTAAAATTCTGACCAGGCTTTGATCTTATTATATTTAAAATTATTAAATGATTTTTCTTTCCTTTTTTAATGACTGACCACCATCCTGAGTTGTGTCTGTGTACTAGAAGGGCAGGACCTAAGCGCTTCAATAAATAAAATAAGTCTTTGCAAGCAAATATAAAGGTGAGGGGCAAAATCTCCAACCAACACATAGAGATATGTGCACACTGCTTATGTGTAATACATTATGTGTAATGCAATATGGCAGATAAAGTTGGGTATGGGCAAAGGTGTAGGGACAAAGTTAGGTGAGGTCAGTAAATGAGGGTGCCATAGAAGTCAGAAGGGAGGCACATGGGCAAATGCAAGTAAACTAGAATGGAAAGCATGGGGAAGCTGTGGCCCTCCACACCCCAACATCCATCAGCCCCAGCCAGCATGGTCAAGGATGGTGAGAGTTGTGGTCCAAGGACATCTAGGGGACCACAAGTTCCTCATCCCTGATATAAAGAAATGCTAGTGGAGAACAATTTCCCAACTTTTTCTTAGGCAAGCGCTGGATAGCAGCTCCCCCCTCTTCTCTGCACCATAGTTCTCCCCAACTTATATTGCAAATGTACTATCTGATCCCAGTGCTGAAGAAAATGGAAGGCAAATGCATTTTCACATTATCATACAGTCACACGGTGGAGTTTTGCATTTACGTGTTCAGAAAAGAGAAAACCTGGAATCTAATCAAGCAGAAATATCATAGACTCCTATATCCTCCAGCTGAGCAAAATGTACCTGGAGTAGGTTAAGATTATATCTTTTATTGAATCAGCTTTTGTTGGTGGAACTGCAGAGATGCTCTTCTCCAGGCAAAGAGGAAGGAGGAGAAAAAGGGGGGGGTGGAGAAGCCAAATAGAGAGCTTTTGTACTTACATAGAACCACCAGCCAGGATGGGCACTAAATCTGCATGTCAAATGTCCCCCGAAAACAAGAAGAGAGACATTTTCCCGAAGGAAGGAAACAATTCAATTTCATTTCAGCCGGGGGGTAAACTCTTTTAGGAACAACGCCCTTCTGTTGCCTGATTGTTACAGAAGTAATTTTCAGATGCTGAGCTGTAGGCCCAAAGCTGACCAGAATGCACCCAGCTTGGGGCTTCAGATATAA